GGATCTTAATTTGGATTTTAATAACTGATAAAGATGAGAAATGTAATTGTGTTGTATACCTACAATGTACCAATAAAAGAATTTAATACAAAAAAATAAATAAATAAAAAAATAAAAGCACTGGTTGGAGTATAAGAATTTGGGCTTTTTCAAATGAAAGTCAGTCCTATTTAGAAGAACAGTGGGCTAGGCAACATTAATGGGATCTTAATTTGGATTTTAATAACTGATAAAGAATAACTCAACATGAACTAAATGAAGCTTCAGTTAGTTGTACCAAAGATGGTCATGTCACAGGAAATAAAGACATGAATAATTTAACTGAAAACATCATACTTTGAATACTCCATCATAGGGCTGGGGATTTAGCTCAGTGGCACTGCACTGCCTTGCAAGCTCAAGGTCCTGAGTTCAATTCCTGGTACCAGAAAAAAATAAATTAAGATGAATACTCCATCTTGCTGGTGTCTTTTTACTAAAAAATAATGCAGGCACACATTTAAGAGGATTAGCCAATGAGGAACGAACAAAATCTCCATTACAAACAACAAACACAGCAAAGATAAAGAAGAAAACAGCACTTGTATAAATCTGTATAAACATGTACACAGGCAATGTATTAAAACAGGTGCCTTGAGCCTAAGTTTTTTGTTCATATTGACCACTGGCTGGCTGAAAATTCCACATCTGGTGGTATTTGACTCTAAAATAGTTTAAAGAATGGACTGGAGCCAGGTGTAGCTATACCTGCAACTGAGCTGTGGTAGAAGGATCACCAGTTTGAGGCTAGTGGGGAGGTATATAATGAGACCTCAACTCAAACAAAAACAAAACAATGGATTAAATGCATAACACATTAACTTGTTTATTTTTTCACATCTATGATATCATTCTGATCTAGTAACTTTGGTCAATAATTCTGCTGTAGACTCAATTTACAGCACAGATAAAATGCTCATTTTAAGTAAATCAGGTATAGTTCAAAACACAATAGATTTATGCTAAAGTTTTAACTATAGAAAAGGTGATATTTGAGCTGGATTCTGAAGGGATTCAAACACTCACCAAGCTGGAGGTGGAGTAAGAATGGCACTGAACATGAAGTACAGCTGGCTTTAGTGTGGAAGTACAGTCATACCTAGCTCAAGGATAGAAAACTTCTGGGAAGTATGTCATTAGGCGATTTAGTCATTGTTGAACCTTCATAGAAGGTTACACAAACCTAGATGATATAAGGCAGTGTGGCGAACCTATAGCATGCGTGCTGCAGCACGCTGTTTGTTATCATTGAAAGTTCTAAAAGGGTCGGCATCAATGGTATAGGGTAATCACTGTATGAGAGGAAATCAAAAAACAAGCACAGGATATCTGAGGTTGCTGCTAGTATAAAGCAGCATACTGTTTTACAGAGAAGTTTTTCTACAAGTAGGAGTACACTCTAAAATAATGACAAAAGTCTAGTAAATACATAAACCAGTAACAATGTCTTTATCATTATTATTAATTATGCACTGTACATAATTGTATATGCTATACTCTTCTACAACTGGGATTACAGTAGGTTTACACCAATGCATTGTGCTACAACGTTATAATGACCATAGATACTTTTCAGCTCTATTTTAATCTTATGAGACCACCATTGCATATGCACACATTCGGTAGAGCTGTATAACTGTGCTCACAGAGGTGAGGGGAAGGCAGAGAGGTATAGCAGGAAATGAAGACAACAGGATGGAGTGTGAGGAGACAAAGAATGTTTTTACTGCACATTCAGCTAAGAAATTCAAACTTTATCTCCTTGGACAACAGGAACCTACCAAATATTTTTTCAGCAGAAAAGTGTTACGAGATGCCTTTTAAAACATTAATTCCATTATTCTGCAATATGGGTGAACAAAGCACAAATGCATGAAGGCGAATAAAACGGCTGGAAGCCTGCAGTTAAGAAATAGTTATGACAGGGCTGGGGACTTAGCTCAGTGGTGCTGCTGCCTGCCTTGCAAGCACAAGGTCCCAATTTCGATCCCCGGTACCAAAAAAAAAGAAGAAATATTATGACAGAGGGGATAAGAACGAGACAGCAAATCTGAGCAACACTTCAAGAGGAAGAACCAATGCATTTTAACACCCAAGCTGAGAGCGTTAAGGAAGGCACCAAGTGACACCGAGCTCGACCCTCCCCGCCGAGCTCCTAGTATCAACCCAAAGGCAGAGCCAGTCTGTTCTTGAGTCAGTCTCCGCCCCCAGAAAGGCCCCAGCCGGGTACCCAGGCCCGTAGCATCACCTCGACAAGACCTCCAGATCTTCAAGCGCAGACAACAGACGCTCCCGCGTACTGTTACTGCCTGCCGATGCCGAGCTGCCTCCCAGCCGTTCCTTCTCCTTTTCACCACTCGAAGAAGCCGCCATCCTTCCGGCAGACCAGCAACCTGTGCTTGCACAGGGCATGCTGGGGCACGGAGAGGCGGGCTGGAGAGGCGGAAGGAAGAGTCACCGAGGCGGGAGGAAGAGAGGACTGCCTAGCGCGCCCTCTGAGCTCTTGGAGGTGCACTGCGGGCGCCGGCGACATTTGCTAGGGCCAGAGAGGATTTCTCTGGTACAATCTCTGGGAGAGACTGCTGGACAGAGAACAAGAATTGCAGCGCAGTAGGGTCCTCCTGAGCCTTCTGTTTTTCTAGCAGCATCAGGAGGCTTCTAATAATGGGTTCTAAGTACCTGAGCTAATTATATAATGAACTACCTTTTGTGTCAGTTTTGTCGTGAGATCTTTGCAGTGGTGGTGAACCTATGGCCCATGTGCTGCAGCGGGCTGTTTGTTATCACTGAAAGCTCTAAAAGGTTCACCATCCCTGTCTGGGGTCTCTTCAGTATTAACCTCCCTTTAGTTTATATCTCCATAATGTTCTTCCACTTTCTTGTTCACCTCTTATAGAAACTATAGTAAGCGTTTCAGGACAAGAACCAAAACCCCGCTTTCTCCTCTTCTTTATTGTAGCAAGGTACATATAACATAAAGTTTACTATTTTAACCATTTTAAGTGCAGAATTCAGTGGAATTAAACATACTTATTAACCACAAGTATAACTCAAGTAACCATCCATCTCCGAAAACACTTTTCATCATACCATACTGAAATTCTGAACTCATGAAGCCCTAACTCCCCATTAATGTCTCCTACCAATCCCCTGCCAACAACCATTTTACTTTCTGTTTCTAATGAGTTAGACTAGGTACTTTGTATGAGTGGAGTTGCAGTATATTTGTCTTTCTGTATCTAGCTTGTTTCACTTTGCATAATGCCCTTAGGGTTCATCCATGTTGCTGCATGTGCCAGAATATCCTTCCCTTTGAAGGCTGAATAGCATTCCATTTTACATATATTATCATATTTTGCTTATCCATTCATCTGATGATGTGCACTTGAGTCGTTTCCACCGTTTTTATAACTCATCTTTGTATCTTACACCTTGCAATAAAATGTTATTGCTCAAGATGATTGTTGAACTGAATGAGTCAATATAGTATGTGAATAGCAGTTAAAGAAAGTGTAAAGAATTGATGTAGCACCCATTCTGTGTGAGTCAGCTTTCCATCACTATGATAAATTACCTGAGAAAAACATTTTAAAGAAGGAAAGGTTTATTTTGGCTCCTGCCTTCAGAGGTTTCAGTACATGTGGGCTCCATTGCTATGGCCTGTGGTGAGGCAGAAACTTCATGACAGAAGGGCATGGCAGAGGAAAACAGCTCACCTCATGGCACCCAGGAAGCAGGGAGTGCCTGAGAGGAAGGAGCTAGAGAAAAATATACTCTTTATAGCCAGGCCCTCAGTGACCTGCTTTATCTCATTAGGTCTCACCTTCTAATAACCTCATTTACCTATTAACTTATCCATGAATTAATACACTGATGAAGTTAGAGCCCTCCTGATTCTTCACTTTCCAAACCACCACCTCTGAACACTGCTGCATTAGGGAACTAGTGCCTAACATGTGAGCCTTGGGGGATATACCATACCTAAACCATAACACATTCCAAATCAGAACTAGGCATCAAAGTAGAAAATGCATCTTAGCCCACTTTTCCTGGGGAGAGCAAGGTAGCATGTAACTTTTCCTGCCAGGAAAATCCAGAGTTGCAACCCTGTTGGGAGGGGTTCTGTACTGTGCCGTGTTGCTTTTATGATGCCACCTACAGATACCAGCTGGGAACATAGCAGCGGTGCCTATGCTCCCTTCATTTCAAGCCTCAACCTTTCATCTGTCCTTTGGAGCTTGACTCTTTCTGGGCTCCCAGAATTTAGAACTCCATAACAAACTCATGTTGAATGAATTCATTCATAGCAACAGCTGTATAATCCAGAATGCTAATTTATTTGCTTAAAATGAAAAGAGATAGTGCTAACCACATTTTCCCCCACAGACAAACTTACATGGAAAGCTAATTATCACTGGAATGTTGTTTGGCAAACTTCAATTAGAATGAAGGAAGATAGACTTAAAAAAAACAAAAACAACTAATGCTGCAACAGTAAGGCTATCTCCACAGTGTAGAGTTATTTGTGTTACAGAGATTGAAATGCTTGTGTTCATAGGTCAAGGTGGTTTCTCCCCTACACAGTGCAAGAGATCCACTGATGCCTCTTATTGTCTGATCATTGCCAACTTCTATTCTCTGTGAACTACTTCTGTTAATGCAGTCAATTCTCATACAATGGAATAAATTAGATTTAAGCTTTCCTAATTACAATTGCATTCTAAACATGCCTCTCACTACTCTATACAATAATTACTTATGTTAAGTTTCCAGGGTGCTGAACTCCTGCAGCATGTGTTGGTTTTGTTTATTCAATACTTACAGGATCATCTTGGATCATAATTCTGGTGGAGGGAAAAATCGTATTAGTGTGGCTTCTCCAGAAACATTCTAGACAATTAAAATTACAAGTGCTACTTTGCAGGCATTGAGAATCAGTGTATGAAACATATTTGTATTGTAAACTCTAGACTTCAAATTAATTGCAAATTCATATGCACACTAAAGAATATCTGTAGACTCACAAGTAATATCATCTCCCACAGATATGCTCTCATGCAAATTGTACACAGCCTGGTATGATGAACAAAATATGAGTTATTTTATAAAGCATTACTGAATTCATGGTAACTTCATGTTAAGTATTTTCTTAATCTATAGATTCAAAGAGGATGCTACTGTCTTGTAAAAATTTATTTATTTAACATATCAAAGGGCTGAGGATATAAGTCAATGGTAGTATGCTTACCAAACATGCCTGGGTTCAATCCCTCGGTACTGAAAAGAAAATTCAAAATAAGGACAAAAAGATTAAAGACATGCCCACGTCATGCAGTAAGTGGCAAAGCTGAGATCTGAACTGAGTCTGACTCCAGGGTCTGTGTTCTTTACCACTGGTTATCTTGATTCTTAAAAAAAGGAAAAAAAAGTGTCTTTGTATACTGAGAAAGAATTGAGAACTTCTCACTTACAAACTGTCAAATTCTCAGCTTGGAGTTCTGAGTTGCAAACAGCTACAGATGCTTCATGGGGAGTTTTAGGGGTGCAACAAGAAACTGAACCAAATCTGTCCCTAAGAATCAGCACAATAGATGGCTGGAACCACTATGTAATTTTTGTTTGTTATTTTTGTTTTTTCTTTCTTTGTTTCTTTAAGTTACTTTTAATTTTCATTGAGCAGCATATACACATAGTTTAAAAGTCAAATTTTTCAAAAAGCTAGAGAAAAGGATTTTGAGTGTTCACCATAAAAATGATAAATGTTTGACGTAAATATGTACAACCTGATAAACATTACACAATGTGTACATATATTGAAATATTGCATATTATCCCATTAATGTATATAATTTTTTGTTTTTATACATCAGTTAAAAATAAACTCAATTTAGGGCCAGGGATTTAGCCCAGTGGTTTCGCTGCCTGCTGCGCAAGCACAAGGACCTGAGTTCGAGCCCCAGTTCCAAAAAAACCCAAAACTCAATTTAATTAAAAGTGATAAATAATTCTGAACTTTAGAAAGAAAAAAAGAGCCTGATTGTCTTCAAATGCTTCTAACAAAAACAAAAAAATGTATCTCTCACCACCTACCCTCCCAGAGCCCCCACATCCTAGCAAATCTCTCCTCTTAGAAGCAGCTACTCTCAATAATTTTAAGTTTCTTTTACTATTTGCTACCATATTTTTAATAATGTGTATGTATTCTATATTTCCATTCAAATTTTTTATAAATTTGTTTTACTACCATGATGAATAAGGATTTTCTCTCTCATCCATGGCCTGTTGCCATCATGTTCAGCCAGCCACCCACCCACCCACATTGCACCCACAAGTTCTGCTCTCCTCTCTGTACATGAATGTCTCCTGCAACAGGTCTGAAAAGTAGGGCCTTGCAGAGGTGACTAAGACCCCTTATCAATGGATTGATGCTGTGATTACTTTAGATCACATTGTTAAAGAAGGCCCTTCCCTCTTGCAGGTATGCCCTTCCACCCTTCTGTCAAGAGATGATACAGTTCTCACCAGATGGGGCTCCTTAGTCTTGGAGTTCTCAGCCTCCAGAACCATGAACCAAATACATTTTTGTTCACTAATGACCTAGTCCCAGGTATTCTGTTATAGCAGCACAAGATGGACCAAGACACTGAAATAGCTTCAGTGCTCAGCCACCTTCACATTTACCTACTAACTGGCATTGCCTTCGGAAATTCTGCTGTTTACTGTACAGGTGTATGTTTACTATATATGAATGTAGTGAACAAATAAAGTGGCACTAATAAATGTTGAATTTGTTATTGAGTGAGGTGCTGAAATCAGTGAAGGTGGGGCACAAAATGGGATAAAAAGGCACTGAAAACAAATTGTAATTATCTATAGTTTAAAGGACAAAGCCTTACTTTCAATGTTTTTCCTTTATACTCTCCTTGAGAACCTTAAAATCAACTTCAAAAATGTATAGAATCCTCAACTAAAAATGGAATATTTCACAGCTATGGTGGTGAGTACTGTCTCTGAACCTTGCAATTCAAGAAACACGTTCAATTAAGCTTCTGATCTGGAGTGAGTTAGTGAATTATCAAAGTAAATTTCCCTAGTGAGTTATCAAAGTAAATTTAAAGGCCCATGTTCAAGGTCATGGATGAAGTGGTGGTTCAGAATCAGGCATTCTCCTCCTTGTAGCCAAGCAGAAGAAGGAGAACACGTCCTCCAAATTCATTAGCTTCCTTCTCCAAGAATCAAAAAACCTATACATGCCCCCTCAAGGCATGGGCTTCAGAAACCCTAATCCCAGGTAGAAATAACACCTGGTACTGGATCAGACTAGATATCAAGAACCACCATTTATAGTTTCTGAAACATGTCACCTTTCAAAAAGCTACTGGGGACAAAGTGGGTTCACTGCAAGTTACTGTTTTTAAAGCAGCAAATCCAGTCTTTAAAACAACTATA